TTATTGATTCAATATTTAAATATTTTTCTAATTACACGGTATAATATAATATAATATAATAAGATGTAATATATTGGTGCAATAGAGAAATCAATTGGACAAAAAAAACATGGAACCCATACCATATGATTGTTTTTATTAAAATTAATAGAATTGAATTAAAAATAATATTAAAGATTTAAAAAAAGGAAAAGTTTGGGAAATTTTGGCGTTGAAGACAAATGGTTTGAAGACAAAAACACTTCACATGGGAATTCCTCTGCCTTAAAAGGACCAATCAAATGTAAGAGTGGGCCTTTGTTTCGAGCCCACATATATTTTTATTTAGCAAACACTTTGTGAACAAAATAAAAATAAACCCATGAAATTAGTTTAGAATCTTTAGAGGGAACATATCTTATTATTATTATTATGTATATAACAAACAAAATTACCATATGAATCTTATCACATATCTTTAATGCAATAATTAGTCCCCTCATTTTGTATTATTCACTTTTGTCTTTTTTCCCTTCACATTTTGATGTGATTAATGTGTTATTACACGAGAGCGAAGTTTATCCAGTGTATACCAGTGATTGCGGGCTTTTTCTTGATTTTTTGGCTTCACATTTTGATGTGATTAACGTGTTATTACAAGAGAGTGAAGTTTATCAAGTGTACATCAGCGATTACTTTCTGTGAGTGATTTTTCAAATTTAGGTGTCTCTAATCTCATAAAAGATTGTAATTTACTCAAAGTCTTTAACTTTTGTTCTCTTTCTCTAATTTTATCTTCATAAATTAAATGTTATTATATGAGTAAGATTTTGGAGAAGGGCATATACAAACAAGCCAACGGCAAGGTGACCATAAACAATTGTCCAAAATTTCAACCTCAATTATCATTATAGTTGAAGACAGACAATCATTGAAGAGAGAGAGAGAGAGAGAGAGAGAGAGAGAGAGAGAGAGAGAGAGAGAGAGAGAGAGAGAGTCGGTGAAGTGAAACTACAGCTAAAAATTCTAAGGCATGGTACAAAAATTGGTGAACAGCAAACATCAATGGTAGTAGGCTGTAGTAATATTTTCATTTAAATCAGGAAAACATGTAACATTATATTAAAAAAAAAAAAAGATTTAATAATTTATTGTCATTATATTTCTGTGCAATATGTTACAATAACAGTAGTGTTGGTTGAGCTTTCACCTGTTATTTATTAAAATCCACACATTTTATGCTATTATTAATCTCCTAATTTGTCCCTACAAACCAACCAAAAAGCCATATTAATTTATATATATATATATATATATATATATATTAATTAATTAAAGCTTACTTAAAGTAAAGGTAGTGGTGCTAACACTTTCTAATGCTAAAGCAATTGCTTGTGCTAAACTAGATAAAATTGATTCCACAAACTGATTACTCTTCCACACCTTATTCAGCCATATTCATTATTTTGTAGGGCTTTTTTTTTTTTGATTAATTAATTAATTTTTTTTTAAATTTGCTTTTTAGGTGCCATGCACAAGCTAAAATAATGGTGTCCCATATGCATATTTAGTGCAATCATTAAAGCTTTTTCACAAGATTTTCTTGTTGTTTTTTCATAATATATACTTCCCCCACTTCTTTCCAAAAGTTCCATGATTACTTCAGAGTTCAAAGTGCAAAATTATAAAAATAAAATAAATAAATAATTAAATAAATAAAAAGAATTTTGATTTTAGGACAAGCACAATGATAGATTCTTTCCTAGGATCAATTATTACATGTATTCACTATAATTGTTTTAAATGGTTATTGGGTTTAATTTCCATTTATAAATCTTAACTTAGATCTATTAGCTACAAATATTACTTAAAGAAAAAAAAAGGTTGACATATATCTTACATATATAGTGATGAGCATCATTTCAAAAGATCACATTTCAATGGATATTGAAATTAGCTTTTACTTAAAGAAACATATACTAATTAATTACTAATAGTAATTAACTAGTTAATTACTTTTGATTGGTTGTGAATCCTCCACATGCTAAGTGGACCATGTATAATAAATTGTTTAATTAAAAAAAACCAAGAATATAATGCCTCTTCCATGTGCACAATCATAAATATTTCTACCTCTTAGATGTAACTTTATTGAACAAAATAGAGTAGTTTTATGCATGCCTCAATTCATTTGATTTATGAGAATTAGTGTCTCTATTTTGATATGTAATAATTGAATCAATTAAGTAGTCCAACAATATTTCAGTACATTGAACTATTCATGTGGCCGAGAGCCCTCATAGCCCAGGCATAACGACGCAATTATCAGAGGCACACTCTAACACTGAACTAATTAGCTCGTCGTGCGAGCCTTCCACTAGAGGCCGCGCGAGAAAACCCCATCCCTCTCTTTCCTTTTTTTCCGCCTCCGTATTGCCCATGTGGCGGCATAGAGGTGAAACAAAGGGGATTCTATCGCCCTGTTCCGACCTGGGATAATAAGCTCGTGAGTTTGGTCTTACTTCACCGTCGAGAAACGAAAGATGATATGTAATAATTGAACCGAGTAGTTCAACAATATCTTAACAAGGTTAGGTTTAAGTTGGCTTAGCTAAGTGGTCTAATTAGCATACTAATTACAATTCACTAATCAACTATAAAAACACATTATTTTATTTATAGGAGAACTACATTTTACTTTTCTTGCTACTAAGTTGATAATTTTTGTTTGAAAGGTTTCTACGGGTGATATATGACTTGAGTATCGAAAGGTAATCTTGCATCATACAGACTGTCAGAGTAATTTAAAATAACGTATCGTGTCTATAATTGCATTTTTTTCTAGGACATAATTATTTGGAATATTTATCGGTTTTTAATGAGGAAGGTAATATATTTAATAAAATTAAACTTAAAACACTTGGCCGACAATAGATGTTTAAGCAAAGCTTAATCAACATAATAATAATGCTAATAACATTATTAAATATTAATTAATTTGGCATGGCACAAGAGTCAATACTCACCTACTTTTTCCCATCTTCTGTGGTGTATGAT